TCATTGTGTTTTCTTTTGGCTTCTGCAAGGAGAAATCCTTATCCCTGCCTCACCCCTGCCTCACCCCAGTCCTCGGGCCGCACCAACACACATCCTCACGCACTTCGGGACTCTTTCTGCCTTTCTCTTCCAGGAACTACTGAAAACGAGAAAAGCACTGAAAGAATCCTGTCGTCCCTGAACAGGAGCGTTTGTTTGCTTTTGCTTAGGGTTGCTGGTTGGAGCAGAGAGTTCTGTAGATTCTTGTTTTTGCCTTCCTTTTTCTCTTTCAAGTCAGTTTCCCCCCACCACTGCAGAGCGCTCACCTGGTTCTCCGCTTCCTGTGCGCTCTGGGGCCCTGCCTACTAGAGACCAGGGGCCTTGGAGAAATTTCCCTCCGGCTTCCTCCCTCCTCTAGATGCTTGGCCAGTGGTCAGTGCAGCGGCAGCCCCCGCAGTCGTCCTGGTGCCAGGGGCCAGTGATTAAGTAGCCAGGTCTTGAGCTGACTCCATCCTGGTTGGTCATAACTCTGCTGCGAGTTATTTTGGTCTCTGTGACTTGTGGCTGCACCATGATTACGGTTTGATATCTATCACCAAAGTGACTAAAAGATGAAAATAGAAGCCACAACAGGAAATAAACAACTGCAAATGAGATATTTTATTCCATATTCCCTGCCAGCAAATGATTAGAATCAAACTCATTCACAATAGTTGGGTGAACTTCTAAACTTTTCTTTTAAAGGATCAGCAAAGTTCGAAACAGGGCGCTCGCCAGTCTCACTTAGGCCCCTGGAAAGGAAAGGAAAGGAAAGGAAAGGAGCTCCCTTTCTAGGCACACCACATCCAGGGGTTCCTCGGCTGCCCAGCTTCTTTCTTGGAAAGGAAAGGAGTAAGAAGGCGACAGGGTGGAGCCGGCTCTCAGGAAGCCTTGGGATGTTAACTGATTCAGGGAATGCCAGGGAGCTAATAAAGCAGCACCAACCATTGTAGCTACTTGCCCAGCATCCCACCCATTGTCTACTTAGGGCAGCGAAATAGAGGAGGAAAGCCGTGTGGAGAGCGCAAGATAGGGGTGACGCCTGAATTAAAACACCCGCAATTACACTATACGGGAACATAGCTCTGCAAGTATATGCATGTTCCACCCAGACAAGCTGTGACGTCAGATTCAACTCCTGAAACACCCACTAAGCCTTCCTGCCCTGTGTGTGCTGGGCTTCTCGTTATAGAGTGTTAGCACCGTTGGCCAGGTTTCCGAAAGTCTTCAGGTTCTTCATCATGTGAAGCTTAATTTGAGTTATGACATTTGCTTTCTGTTTGAGTCCTTTCTGTCACTCTGAGAACTTTGCTTTGCCTCTCTTGAAGAGCAAAGATCTCCTAGTGAGGCCCAGAGCAGAGAGAGGGAATGGGACCCCGAGAGAGCAGGAAACTTGCCCAGAAAGCTTTTAAAACCCTGCCAAGTGCTCGCCTAATGTGAGGATCACCTCTAGTGCAAGTTATTTAACCAGCGAGTGGCAGAGCCCAGGCGCGAATCGGGTTTTCTGACTTCCAGTCTGGTATGCTTTCTAAGCTTTTTTCCAGTTAAACATTTCCCAGATACCTCAAAAATCTCTTTTCTGTCTCTTCCGTTTTGCCTCTTTCAATGGGATCACCCATATCCAAACCTCCCCCTCTTACATTTTCTCCTGGGCTTTCTCGGCTGCTATTTGCGTAGGTCACATCTTTGGAAAGTTCTCTCTCTCTCTCTCTCTCTCTCTCTGTCACACACACACACACACACACACACACACGCTCATACACGGTCAGTGCCCTTTTCAGTTAGCAACATTTTATTACAAGAATATGATCCTATACAATTGCTGCCTATCTGGCCTTACATAGCGATGTTTAGAACACGAGTTTCTACCCCGTGCTACCACACGCTTCTGCACTCCTTGGTGTCCCTGTGTCTTCAGAGCCCCCTTGCCTGGAGATGATCATGTAACCAATGTTCCTGATTTTCTCTCACATTTATATCTTCAAACGTGTTTTTGGTGGGCTTAGGCGATGTGGTCCAAATGTCCCTTTAATCCCCAGCCACTCTGTTGATCCCTATTTAGTGAGCATCGATTGCATGTCAGACACCTTCAAATTGTTGGAAGTGAGGGGGCTGAGCTCTAAAGCTAAGATTCATTTGTGTTTTTTCCTTTTGTGAATGTATAATTTAGCTGGGAAAATGAAAATAGTACATTTCACCTCTTCTGAATATCTGTCAAACACCCCACTGAGTTTCATTGCCCTCCTGACCTCACAATTCTAAATAACACTTTAAAAAAATCTTATTCCACTAAATAAGATGTGAGAGGTTAGATCACCATGCCAACTAGTGGCCTCATTAATACCGACGCCTCTACGTATATTTAAATCAGTATATTTCCCAGTACCATCTGCTTTCACGAAGTAAATACTTCTGGTCCTTTACCCTACCAACGCTTTCCCCATTTCCATGCATTAATCTGCCAAGGGGTCTTGGCTTCTCCCAAACCTGGGATCAGGGGATAAACTCTCTGACCCTAAGCACCTTGAAAGCTCCGGGGCCGACGAAGGGGCAGAAACAGGCCCCATACGCATATGTGTATCCTAGGCAGGTCTGCACCAAAGGTAGCCTTCCCGCGCCGGGAGGCGGGGTGCCTGAGGTCTTCCGGGCTCCAGAGGAAACCTGCCGGCGGCGGGTGTGCGAGTCCCACCCCCATCCCGCCAGGATGCTGCCCCTCGCAGCTCGTCAACCGGCCAAATGCATTCCAGAGCTGTGCACAAGACACACTTCTCCAAGCAGTCCTAGAAACCCGAGCCCGGAACGGGAGAGGGCGGGAGGGAGCACGCGGCCGCCGCTGAGGTCACATTCGCGCCGCCTCCCCGCCCTCGGCGGCCCGGCTGTTCCCTCCAGCGCACACCTCCCAGGGCTTCGGTCCAGTCCAGTGTAAATGTCTTTTAAGCGGAGACAGTGCTCTCCTCCCCCTTCCCTCCTGCGCGGCCAAGGGATCCGCCGCCAGGGCCTTTAAAACAAAACGAATGAATGAAGCGCTAGGGCCAGCGCGCGGGACAGCCACTGCGAAGCTTCACGGGCTGGGTCTAAATCGGGCCACCGACAGGCTCGTTCCGCTCCAAAACTCGCCGGCGAAGCCCGCTGGGTGCTCTCGGGGCTTCTCATTTCTCCTCTGAGCTGGCCGGGTCTCAGTCCATTCTGGGAGCTTCTTTGCTCCCCACCTTTATTCGCACCCCCCCAAGGCTCCCCTCTCCGCAAACCGAGGAGGGGGTGGCGGTGGCTGGGGGCGGGGGGAGAAATAGCTTTTAGAAACCCGATCTGTTGTTTGCGAAACACAATCGCTTTTTTTTTTTTTAAAGCGACAGGGTGTCTAGACGGCCACGTGACGAAGCCGGAGCCGGGCGCGCCACTGCGCAGTGGAACCAGCAGAGCAGAGGGCCCGCGGGGGGTGGGGGGGAGGCGGCGGCGGCGGCGGCAGCCGCTGGGGGCGGGGGAGGAAAGGGGGAGGAAGGGGGAGGGAAGGGGGCGGGGGCGGGAGGCCTTGCGGGAGGCAACGAGCCCCGGGCACATTCGCTCGCTTGCTCGGCGCACGGAGGAGCTTGTTCCCGAGCCGCGCCAGCCGAGCCAGCCGGGCGCCGTGCTCGGTCCGCTCGCCGCGCCCGAGAGAGCTGCCCCAGACAGAGCCAGCCCGCCGGCGCCGAGCTGCCGAGAGCCCGGCCCCGGAGCCCCTGAGTGCGGCGCGGCGAACCTCGGCGGCGGCAGAGGACCCGAGCGCCAGGAGAGGGCGGACGGGGGACAAGGAGGCTCCCGGGCGCGACGAGGAGAGTCTCGGAGGAGGAGGCGGCGTGAGGACACCCAGGCCTCCTGCCGCTGCAGCCGGGTCGAGGCGAACAGCCCTTACGGAGAGCCCGGCAGCCAGCCGCGGCCAGGGGAGGGGGCGCCGGCGGCCCCCAAACTAGCCAGCAGCTTGCGCTCTGGAGGGCGAGAGCGCGCGACCCGCCAGGGGCCCGCCGCTGCAGCCGCGCCGCCCTCCCCCGCGCTGTCAACCCCGCCGGGCGCAGCCGCCGCCGCAGCATCTTCTGCCCCTGCGGCCCCGCCAGCCCCGAGGAAGTCCCAGCCGAGGACCGGAGCCCCTGGGAGCGGAGGAGGAAAGACCAGAGACTCCCCTAAAACACCTATATGCGGAGGATTGAAGCAGTCTAGCCAAAGCTTTCTGTGGATTAAAAATATATACAGCTTTTTCCTTTTGGCAGAAGAAAAGGAGAGAAAGACCAGCGGGGATCTGCAAGGAAAAAAAGGGGATGTAACTCGTGGATACGTTTTTTTCCACCCCTCAAACGTCTTCTTCTACTTTGTAAACATTTTTTTTTAAACCCCAGTTCCAGTCGGACGGCCCCAGACCTCCAGGGTGAGAGGAGGTGGTGTTTTTCATTTTGGGCTTTGCATATTTGGTTCTTAGGTTTTGAGAGAGCCTTCTTATTTCGCCAGACATCTCATGCAGGGTGAAGTCCACTCGGCCCCCTCCCCCGAGTCTTCGTGTGCACGGAATTTGAGGAGATCCGGTTACTAAGGATATAGAGGAAAAAAATAAATCGCGTGCCTGCTTTTTTTTTTTTAATTGCCTGCTTCTCCCCACCCCCAAATTAAGTTGCTTAGCAAGGGGGAAAGAGGCTTTTTCCTCCAGCAGCTCAGCCCAACGCCTTTCGTTTTTTGCCCCCGCTGATCTTCCATGTAGGAAGCCGAGGCTGGCGAGCCCGACACTCGGGAGCCGCTGCGGGGGGGCCTCTTTTTGGGGAGGCGCCGACCCGGGCAGGCTTCTCCGACCCCGGGGAAGCGGCGGCCGCGTTCCTCCGGGGTGCGCCGGGGCCCGAGAGCCGCGCACGGCGCGGGCCGCGCGGGGTGGGGCAGCCGGAGCGCAGGCCCCCGAACCCCGGCGGGCGCCTCCGGGCCCCCGCGCGCGTCCCGGCCTCCGGGAGACTGGCGCATGCCACGGAGCGCCCCTCGGGCCGCCGCCGCTCCTGCCCGGGTCCCTGCTGCTGCTGTTGTCGCCTGCGCCTGCTGCCCCAACTCGGCGCCCGACTTCTTCATGGTGTGCGGAGGTCATGTTCGCTCCTTAGCCGGCAAACGACTTTTCTCCTCGCCTCCTCGCCCCGCATGTTCAGGACCAAACGATCTGCGCTCGTCCGGCGTCTCTGGAGGAGCCGTGCGCCCGGCGGCGAGGACGAGGAGGAGGGCGCGGGCGGAGGCGGAGGAGGCGGCGAGCTGCGGGGAGAGGGGGCTACGGACGGCCGGGCACATGGGGCCGGTGGCGGCGGCGCAAGCAGGGCTGGCTGCTGCCTGGGCAAGGCGGTCCGAGGTGCCAAAGGTCACCATCCCCACCCCCCAGCCGGGGGCACCGGTGCGGCCGGGGGCGCCGAGGCGGATCTGAAGGCGCTCACACACTCGGTGCTTAAGAAACTGAAGGAACGGCAGCTGGAGCTGCTGCTCCAGGCCGTGGAGTCCCGCGGCGGTACGCGCACCGCGTGCCTCTTGCTGCCGGGCCGCCTGGACTGCAGGCTGGGCCTGGGGGCGCCCGCTGGCTCGCAGCCCGCCCAGCCGCCCTCGTCCTACTCGCTCCCCCTCCTGCTGTGCAAAGTGTTCAGGTGGCCGGATCTCAGGCATTCCTCGGAAGTCAAGAGGCTGTGTTGCTGTGAATCTTACGGGAAGATCAACCCCGAGCTGGTGTGCTGCAACCCCCATCACCTTAGCCGACTCTGCGAACTAGGTAAGAAGTTGCGCGGCGCCCACCCTGCTTTCCCCCGGGCGCTCAGGGTGGGGGTGGGTGGAAGAAGGGCCCCCGTGGGCCGTGTGCGTGCAGCCACCTCTCGGGAGGGGAGTGTATAGTCCTTCCTGGGAGGAGACTTGGGGACAAAAGTAAAGAAGGGACCAGGGGAAACTGAAAGGGTTTTCCCTGGGGGTTCCCTTCCAATTTTTTATTCTTTGTTGTCCCGATGGGGCTGTAGGCATTGCTTCTGCACACTCTGCAGACATGCGGTTAAAAATGAGACCTCCTCACTTCCGGATCAGCTAGGGGGTGCAGAGAGAAGTAGGGGTCACGCCTCCCCCGCACCCGGAAAGGCGTTGAGGTGTGTGGCCGAGTTGGCTTTGGTCCAAGCCCGCCAAGGAAGGCTGGGAGAAGGGAGTTGTAAAGGCTGACAAGTCCCTGCTCCTTGAGTAAATAAGGAGAGTCACGTTGGGCGCAGTGGCCCGGATACTGCCCTGGCCGCGCAGCCATGGAGATTTCGGGGCAGAGAGGGTTAGGATGGGAGGCCAAACTGGGTATCTACCTCCTCTCAAAACTCTGCCTGCCCAGGGTTATAAAGAACGAGGAGTCAGGAGAAGTTGGGTGTTTCTTAGTTTCCTTCTAACACAAGAAAGCACAGAATTAACCATGGGGGGGGGGGGGGGTGTCTGCTCCCAACGCCTCTGGGGCGATGCTGTCCCTTATTTACTGCTCTGGGGGCCTGAGCTGAGACACTGACTTTCTCTTTATCTGCTCAGCCGCCTTCATTGCTTCCCTTTTCTCTGTGTAGCTCGTGGGAAGGGTGCACCTTGGGCGCCAGCAGATCCTCCTAAGTTCCCCAGCGCACTTGGGGCGCGTCTCTCGGTTGGGCTGGGGAAGGGGAGCCCGGTGTTCCCCGAACCGGTGCCTCCCGGAGTGGCGGGGACGGAGATGGACTGTGTCCCTGGCGGGGCGGGCCGGGGCCGGGGCCGGGGCCGGGGCCGGGGCGGGCCGGGGGGAGCAGGGTCTGAAGTTCGCGGACTGGGAGGGGGCCTTTGTCGCCCCCCGCCCTGGAAACTGTGAAGTGCGCGGACCAGCCCGGCCGCGGCGGAGCGGGTGGTTTCCAGCCAGGCCGGCCGAGCCGCGGTGGCGTCCGCAGACGTGGAGGAGCGGAGCGCCGGGGCTGGCGCCAGGCGGCCTCTTTTGTTTATCTGACAGCTAAATATCAAGGCAATCACCGCCTCGCGGCCCTGCCTCCAACCCCCACAGCTAAGACAAACAGTTGGGCTAAAAGAATGCCTCTGTTATCATAAGTTTCTATCTCTCTTTCTCATGGCTCGGCCTTTATTTTCTCTTACTTTTTTAATTCCAGAGTCTCCCCCTCCTCCTTACTCCAGATACCCGATGGATTTTCTCAAACCAACTGGTGAGTGGATGACTTTAAAAATATCCTTCCTCTCTTAAGTTAGAAACAGCCTCTAGAATGCGGATTTTGATGTCCAGGCAGCAGCTTGGGGAGGTTCTGGGTTGGCCTGGAAATGCTTATAGGTTTTTTCTGTTGGAAGTTCGCGTTTTTCTGGTTTCCTTGTGGCTGGAGTGTGTGTGTGTGTGTGTGTGTGTGTACACACATATATAACTTTAAAAAAAGTTTCCTAGATATGCTTTACAATTTGTTCCTTTTTCATGTATTTGCACACCGTGACTGAAGTTGGCTGAGCTTTAACACGTGGAATTTGATCCATGCAGAGGTGTCTTGGGAGCCAGATAGGACAGGTTGATGGGAAAATTCAGAGACTTGTGAGTGCCAGAGGAGTGGGTGGGGAGAATGGATAATTTGATGGAAGGGAAGACAGTTGACAGAGGTGCAGAGAAGACTTTTGTCTGGAATAAAAGGTTAGGAAATTTAAGAAGCAAAGGCGAAACCACCCTCGTGGGTTCCTCTGCTCCCTTCCCTGCAAGTCAGCACTGCTCCCAGATTTGCTCAGGATTCTAGCTGGGGCTAGAAAAGTGTTTTAGCATAGCTCTGCCTGTTGCTTTGTCACCGGATGGCACGGGGCCAGGGCAAAAGCTCATTTGAGACTGGCACCAGCCCTGTTGTGATTGTCTGCATTCAGCTTCTGGCTGGCAGCGCAGGGGCTCACCCCATGGAGCTAACTATGCCAAGGTGAAGAGGGGCAGCAGATCGGGACATGGGGGTGACAACTGGGGTGGCCCCTGTGTCCAAGAGGCCCTTGTTGCAGTGGAAGATTCATTGGCTGAAAAGCAGGGATTGTAACTTGGAAACTTTGTGTCCTATATACTTGATGCCTGAAAAATACAATGTTGTTTTTTTGCCAAGGTCCTGAGAGAAGTGAAGGGTTGGGCCTCCTTTCCCTCTTGGAATTCTCAAGTCCTTTGCCTCATGAGTTTTGGCTGTTGGGCTTTCCCCCCACTAATTAAAAGTTTTGCTGGGGCGTTGTCATAAATTAAATACTTTAATGAACGGTGTAACCGAAGCCCACAGCTCTCCTGGGACTCCACACCGCTCTCTCAAGTCGGGAAGGCGTTGCTGCTTGCCTGGTGCCTGTTTAATAAGTGGCCTGCAAAGCATGTGATATTTTGCTTTCGATTTACAAAACACCAGATAAATGGTCATTAATGAGCAGATAACCAGCTCTCTGTATTTATAACAAATGTTAACTGAAATTACCAAGCGCTGTTTTCTCAAAGAATAACTTGACTGGGTTTTTTTCACTCTAAGACTCAAGACTTCTTTCCTGAGATTAGTTCTTCTAGGGGCCACCTCTGTCCTGTTGTTTTTTCTTCCATACTCTTCAAATTTGGAGGTTTTCCTTAAAAGAGAGACCAATCACCTTGACCCCAGTGGTGAATGTTTCCAGAAACCTCTGGGAACCATAGAAAAAACCATAGAAGAGTTACATTCTCTTAGGTTTCCTGCAAAGATACCAGAATAAATCTGTTCACCGGATTTAAGCAGTCATTCTGCCAGGCCAGGACCTCATTTTCAGTGAGTGGAGTGATATATTTATTCATTAGCAAGTGTTGACATTAGGTAGCAAAATGTGTGTAAACAGAGAAGCCACAAAGACAGGAATGTGCCATTTCGAAGGGGGGGGGGTGGGAGAAAAGTTCTCCAGATCAGCCAATAGGAAGTGATTAACCTGCCAATCGGAAACTCAAACAGCTGGTTACTCACCCAAAATGCTTTGTTTAAAATAAAACAAAAAAAAAGAATGGAAAAAGGCATCGATGTGTAAGGGCTGTGTAAGGACGTAAGGAGCGGTGAGAGGGGAAGTCCCCCTGGAAGGGACTGTCCTCACGCGTTGAAGGGCAGCCAGGTCTGGGGCAGGAGGGGCCCCTCACTGACGAGTCTGGGGCTGGTTTTGCCGGCTGCTGTGACCAGGGCCGATGAGGTCAGATACACAGATGGGCTGCTGTCCCAGGTTTTTCTCCTCACCTTCTATGTGGGAGGAGAGTGTTTGGCTGGGGAATTTAGATCGGCCACTTACATTCTTAAGTTTCTAAGCCCTAGGTGGAATTTTTGGTCTTGGGTTACTAGGTGAGAACCAGTCATAAGGTTTTTACAATGGACAACTGTTAAAATCTTAAACCAATTGCACAACTAAGGGAATCCTTTCTGTGAAGGCTCCGGCTTGGGAAGAGGCGGTGGAAAGGGGGCTGGGCCCTGCCCTGCAGCCTTCGGAGGGACTCGGGGCTGAAAGTGAAGCTCTTTTTTGCTGTGGTTCAAGCCGCTGCACTGCGGCCTGTGTGAGGGCCTGACCTTTGCAGACCTGAGTCTGGGAAGGAGCCTTACTACAAACGGCTGAACCGAGGGACAGGGTGGCCGAGCCTTCTGGCGATCAGAAGTCAGGCAGGTCCTCCCTGCCCTCCCTGCACGAGGGATAGGAGCATGGTGTTTGAGATTAGATCTCACTTTCCCGGGGCGAGTGCTGCGGCAGGGGGTTGCTCTGTAGGCACGTCTCCTTGTGGCTCCTCGTGTTCTCCGCATCCCACAGTCTGAGAGGTTTGAAGAATGGCAGGTGGGCGGGGGTATGGCTGGGTGGGCGGGACCTGATCAGGCTGGGGACCCACTTGGCTCCTGCCCATGGGCAGATGGAGCCTCAAAGTCTAGCTGAGAAGACGGGGACCAAGCCTGCCTTTACCTCGTGACTCAGGCTACTCTTAACTTTTCCAGGCCTCTGTACGATCTAAGAGTTAGGTCAGTGGTTCATTTACTTGCTTGTTTTTTGGTTCATTCATCGATTCTGCAAGGCCTGATGAAGTGCCTGCCTAAGAGATGTGATGATTCCAATGCAGTTGGTTGTCCTTCTGTGACCAAGGTTGTGGATTGGGGCAGAGCGGGGACACTTAGGGTTTCGTGGTGGCGGTGGCCCCTCCGTCCTGGACAGTACTTAGGAAGCTCAGAACTAAGTTGACAAGACTGTGCTGGCTCATCAGGAACCATTCTCTTGATGAGGGAAGTGGGTCTCCGGCTTCCTCACCTTGTACCCTTCTCGACAGCACCATCCTCGGCCGCTCCCCAGGCTTTTGCATCTTCGAGGACTCTTGCTGCTGGGAGAGGGAATGAGTCTCCCACAGCACCCAGCATTTCCTGGGGGCTGGCAATGTCCAGGCTTCTGAGCGTGTGCCGGCCCGGGCTCTGAGGGGTGGGAAGCACAGACAGAAGCCGAGACCCTGACCGTAGAGCTCCGTCTCCGTGGAGCATTTTGTAGCTGAGCCATGGGGGTGTGGCAGCTTTGACCTTACTTTACTAGTCTGGCAGTAGCTGGAGGGCAGTCTGGTTGCTGGAGGTATCTCAGCCCAACTACCTGCAGGGAAGGGAGCACAGGCAGCCAGGACTCTGGTGGCCTGGGGACGGAGAGCTGTGGGACAGACACTGTTCTCTTGGGTATGGCCCAGCTTACTGGGTGGCCCCTTGGGCTAGTCAATGACGCCTCAGTTTACCTGGGTACGAGTCGAGCAGGTCTACTTTGCTATTTCACAGGGGTGGTAGGGAGGCCTAATTAATGTTTGTAAATCCCTCCCGAGATCAAAGGCTCTGCAGAAGGGCAGAGCACCATTTCATAAAACGCTTGTGGTTGCCAGTGTGGAGCTGCCTTACCTTTGATCTGAGACAGGCCGACACCCTGAATGTGGTCCCAGCTCTGCCCCGAGTTGCCGGGCCCTTCCTTTGAAACACCTTGCCCTGGGACTCAGCCAGCCAAAGCTGGGTGGGAGGCGTGGTCCTGCATAAGTCACCGTGTTTAATGTGGGGCTGTCTTCCTCTTGGGGGTAGGGAGCAGCCAACCTCTAGAACATAGTGAAGGCCTTCAAAGTAGTTTAGAAAGTACAGGGTATACACCGTTTAACAAGCAACTCCATTTCCTGTCTCCCCTATTGTTTTCCATTTGATTAAGTGTATCCTGTAAAACTGTATATTCCTGTTAGGAATTATACTTTATGCTGATAAAATGAGATCACACACACGCACACAGTCTTTTCTCTTTTCCCTGCCTGTGGCCCCTCCTGCTTCCCCCTCCCCTGGTTAAGAGAATTCTTGAAAAGTTGTTTTTCCAGCCTGTGAGAGAACACTGCAGCCTGTTGGAGAGGGATTAGAAGGAGGGAGCTGAGGGGAGCAGGCAGCAGAAGCCCAAGGGTGCTCTCTGGCTACCCACCGCCCCCCACTTCCCTTTACCAGGGAGTGGAAGCAGCTGCTGGGCTGCTGGTCTCTGGACGGCCCTTTTGTTTGCTTTCTCACTGGCCCAGTGGTTCCAGTGGGACAGCGATGATGCGCAGCCCAGGTACGCTGTACGCCTGCTGGCAGCCTGGGGCAGGGGACTGGGATTGGTACGCCCACCCCAGGATGCTTGCTGCAGAGCTGGGAAGCAGCGCCTTGTCTGAGCCAGCCTTGCTCTGTGGTTTTCAGTAAGTTTGGCACTGGCCAGGTGCACGATATGCTTACAGGGTCTTGTGTATTTTTGTTTCCTGGGACTCATTAGTTCTGGTTCATGGGCATTAATTTTTTGTTTTAATTGCTTGCAAGGAGGCTGTCGAGTCTGTCTGTTTCTCAGCTAGATTTGTCATTATCCTCATTAACATTTAGGTCACTGTGCCTAGTACCCGAGGGTTACAAAAATGTGAAGAGAAGCTTACAGTTTGGTTAGGACAGACAGGATCTGAAGGTAAAGGATCAGGGAAAGGCAGCAGAAGGAAATTCCAAGTGCTGGGTGCTGGGAAGATGGTATAGGAATTGAGGGCAGGGCCTTGCAGGTCCCGGGTTGTCCTGGGAAGGTTTCCAAAGATGGGGAGTTTGGTCTAGGCCTGGAAGCAGGTAGAATATTTCCCCTCTGGCTGGGAGCCTTGCCAGAATGTTCTCCGTCATGTAGCCCTGAGCTGGTGGCGGCTCTGCACAGGTGTATATGGGAGCACAGTTCACTGAGTTGTCCTGAAGAGGGATACGCTTTCCCATACTTACTATACCTCAATTAAAAAGGAAAAAAGAAGTCCCTTTAGCCCAACGCCTGTCTTGAGAAAGTCCTAAAGAACTGGGAGGTCTGCCTTTAAGACGAGGAGGGTGAGGCCCTGGTCCATGGGAATGGCAGCGAGGCCGTTGGGTCCAAGCAAGGAGGCTCTGGGAGCGATGGCAGGGAGACAGCCACTGGGGCGGAGAGTCCGCACCTGGGCCACCTGCGGCCTGGGAACTGCCTGGTTTCCTCAGTGGGGGGCTTGCAGGACAAGAGAAATTCCAGCCGGTCTGCGATCGACCCTGACTTGACTAATGATTAACGGGCCTCCCGCAGCCCGGACAGGTGACAAGGTGCTGTGGTCCATCTCAGGATGGCGGCGAGGCCTGAGCAGCCCATTCACACTGGCCTCGTGGCTGCGGGTCAGCTGTGTGGAATGTTTGGTTTCTCTTCAGTGCTGTTTAGAATGTGCTTAAAAATTAATCTTGGTTTTTTAAAAGGTATTTATTTCTGTATTTCTTTCTTTCTTTCCCCTTTTCACACCCACAGCAGACTGTCCAGATGCTGTGCCTTCCTCCGCTGAAACAGGGGGAACGAATTATCTGGCCCCCGGGGGGCTTTCAGGTAAGACGCATTCTCGGGTTTTCCTGGCAATTCCAAGACCCCCAACCCCCACGCCTCTTGAAATTACTGGAGAGAGAGGAATGGGAGTGGCTGGCCTTCCCGTCACCCCAGCCGGTCTGGAGTTGTCACTTTTCTGTGCATTAAAGTGGAGGTAATCTTGGTGACTCTGGGGCCCTTCAGCTCATCACTCTGAAGTCCCTTGCACATCAGGACACTGGCCTGCTCCATAGATGCGGAAATGGGGTCCACCTTGGGACAGATGTTGTGCTGTGTTTCGTGGTTGTTGTTAGGCAACTCCTGGCTTGAAGTGTCATTAGTTCATAGGTTTCAGCTTTTTTTTTTTTTTTTTTAAGACTTTAAATTTATTTCTTAGAGGAGAAAGAGAGGGAGAGAAACATCGACGGTTGCCTCTCACACCCTCAACTGGTGGGGTGCAACCCAGGCATGTGCCCTGACCGGGGACTGAATTCGAGACCTTTCAGTTCACAGGCCAGTGCTCCACCCACTGAGCCACACCAGCCAGGGCATAGGTTTTAGCTCTTGTTTTTGCTCTTTCCCTTTGTACAGCGGGTGCCTCGAAGAGGGTGGATCCACCTTTCAGGAACTTACGGAAGACAGATCCCAAGTGTAGGATGGGCGTTCAGTGTAGACGTCCTTGCAAGTCCTGATTCCCAAACCAGCGTAGTGCAAGTGCCATAGCAACAGGGTCAGGGCACTGCGGATGGGGGGCGCTAATAACACTGCTATGCAGGAGGGGGGCCTTTTCCTTAGAGCTCTGGGGGGCTATGGGATCGGATGAGGCACTGGGTAGCCTGAGCATCATTGACCCTAAGGGACGTGAGAAGAGAGTGATCAACCTGGAGAAACTCATTAGCAATGTAACTGAGGGCATTGCCATTTTTCCCAAGCCATCCTGTTTCCACCTGTTTTCCCTGCCCCCGTAAGCCATCACTGGATTTTCTAAGAACTGGCTAGAGCGAGAGGAAAGTAACGGGGGCAGGGGGTGTTGAGGGGTCCTTCAGCAGAGTCTGGGCATTTGTCATTTCTCGCCTTTGTTTGGGCATTGGTGTAGGAGCCATGGCAGCTCAGGTGGAAGCTGTACAACTTTCTTTGGGGGACTGTGGTGCGCCCTCTGATGTGAGGCGGCCAGTCTGTCAGGCGCGGCTCGGCTCAGGCTCAGGCCGCCTGGCCAGTCCCTCCCAGGCTCTCCTCTCCAGGAACTGAGCTTGCTGAGAATGTCTTTAGGGAGACTGTGTTTGTTTTTATTTCTGTGCAGTATATACTCTGAGTGTTATCTGAGACAGAGGCTATTGTTTACTCAAAGCTCCTAATGAGAACTGAGCAGGAAAAAGAGGGACCCAGAGAGGGAAGGGGGCTTGGGGGGGGGGGCGCAGGGATGGGAGTGGTCCGTTGCAACGAGGAGGGAGGGACACGTGGGCGCTGCGTCTTCTCTGCTTTCTAAGGCTGAGAGAGTTCCTGAAAGAAAGGAGGTGAGGAGAAGAAGGGGTCTGGCCAAAATAACACTCAGCTTGTTAGCTGCTTTTATTTTTCAAACCCTGAATTTGCAGGGAGGTGCCCCAGCCCCTCTGAACCACATGAAATAAGCAAGGGAAGTGGTAGCTTTTGAAAGGGGGCTTTTCGGAAGGTTTGTCTTGCTGATAACATCTTGTCTGTCTCCTCTGCTCTGGAGGAAGTGACGCCAGACTGAGCCACCAGACCGGGTGCCTCCCTATGCGCCCTGAGAGCTGAGCAGTGTGACCCACTACGCAGCCCCTTCTGAGATGGGTGGGCTTTATGTTCCAACAGCTTTTCCAGTTCTATAAAGAAACTGGGGGTAAACCAGTTATTTTAATCCTCCCCACACCCCCCCCAAAGTAATTGCAACCATTTAGATTAATGGGGAGCTGCTAGGAAAGGCGTGCTTGCTTCTAAAGGGATCCCGTGGTTTAACAAAACTGCAAAAAGAGAAAAGGGGGGGAGACCTCCACATGAAAGAGCATTTGTTTTGAATTTTAGCTCTTGATTTACTAATTCCCAAGGCTTCAAAGTTTGAGCTCTTTCTTCTTTCCGTTTGGAGTTGGAGCAGTTTATTAATAATGTGCCGTGGGGGGAAATTGAAGAAACTGTGTCTTGGGTCGGTGCCATTGGTTTGGGGGTGTCTGGAGGGGAGGCAGTGGGCACGGAGAAAACCCAGGGTGACACCCTTTGCAGGGAGAATGCCCTCCAAAAGATGATTGTAGTGGCCCAGGGCCAGGGCCGAGGGTTTTGTAAATGGAGACAGCCCAAACCTCCTCCTCAAGGAGTTGATCTTTCCATGGTTGGAGGGGGGGGGGTGGCCTGGGTGTGTCTGCCTTGCAGAGGATGAGGCCATTGGGGGCTGCTGCGGCTGAATGGGGCAGGGCCTGGCAGGGGGGCCCTGCTGGGTAGGGAAAAGGGTTAGCAGAGGCCTGAGGGTGGGAGCCTCCTTTGGGGATGGAGGGCAAGTGAGCACCAAGGTGGGGAACAGTGAAAGTGCCCGCAAGGATTTGCCCCCTCCTTCCCCTCCTCCGCCTTGAAATAACCTCTCTGAGTGTCTCTTTCACAGGCCCTGTGTGCTGTTTTCCTTCCTGTCCTGCCCTGGCTGAGAGCAGCCTTAATGAATGGGGCTCAGTTTAGGGTGGGAGGCAGGTCGGCAGCGGGAGCCAGGGCTTGATTCTCTTGGCACGGGAAGAAGGGAAAGAAAAAACAGCCGAATGTGAAAATGTGGGGCCTTGGTGGTGGGGGTGGGGGTGTCCTCAAAGGCATGCCCCCTCCTGAAAAGCCAGGAGGGGGGGGAGGTGACTGCAAGGCTGGCCCTTCCCTTTCCTGCGAGGAAGGGGAGAGGAAGGGGAGTGGGTGGCGGGAGCCCTGGGAGCCGGCCCGCTGGCTGCAGGTTGGAATTCCAGCCTTGCAGCGCGGGCCGGCCGGTGACAGGCCGGGCCTTCGGGACCCGGGGAGCGTATCCCGCCCCTGCAAGTTTCCCCAGTCTGGCTGTGACTCGGTTCCAGGAGGCTGTACTTTCATTTCTGACAGCTGGCTCTCCGAGACAGATGGATTGCTCCGTGCATGGTTGTGTGTGGGGGGTGTGTGTGCATTTCAACTGTACAGATAGACGGCCCTGTGCACAGACACACGAGCAGACAGACGCCCCCGGGCAGGCTCTGGGATAGGCCCGGGCCCCTCTCACACGGGGTTGGGGGACCTCAGCACAGCCTCTCCGTGAGGATAGGCACCTAGGGAGTGCTGGCGGATTGGTTCTGAACTGTGACTTGTCCGCCTGAGCCTGGTGCCTTTTGAAAGGCACGCGACTCCAGACTCCAGAAGGGGCCCTTGCTGCTGGAATGTGTCCTGGCCTCGGAAGGCCCTCCTCGGAGAGGCCTGACAGAGACTGGAAGCTTCGAGGTTCGGCTTACTGGTGGAAATGGAAAGGATTTGCTGCCAGAGCTTTCAGCGTGTCCCTGGTAATTAAACGCATGTGTTAGAAGCTGTCATCTTTGCAGCCTCCCCCTGGAGTTTCAGGGAGGGGGCTTTCAGTTAGCTTGCCTGCTGTCCTGGTTTGGGGGGGGCGCGAAAGAAAGACAGCTCCCTTGTAAGTTCTAGGTTCTTCACGTATCCTCCAGCCTCCTCCTTTATATATTAATGGCTGAAGCTGGCTATACGGACCTCCCTGCTCAGGGCAGGGAGTAGAGGCCAGCAACCGCTTGTAGTTACTTAAACTTTAAAAGAGGTGCCACCTTGGGTTTCAAGGAGGGAGGTGGGAAGCAATGGAGACATAAGTACTTGGGTGTCTCGAGAGAGCCCTGTCTCTTGGCTGTGCAAAGTCATGCTTGTTGGAGGAATACAGTCCCAGCATCCCCAGGGAGGCCAGCCAATCCCTTGCTTGGTCTTAAGGGCCTTGGGGAGTTAAGTCGGAGAGATGGGAGCAGCCGCCTCAGGAATGGCTCCGGCCTCCTGAGCGCCGCTGCCACCCGTCTATGGTAGTCTCAGAAGAGAGTCTTCCAAAAAATACCTGCGTACCCTGAAAATGTGGTCCTGGCTCAGTCCATGGTCAACTTGGGCTCAAACCAAGTCGCTTAGGAAAGATCGCTCCTTCCTGTTTTTTAAGGAAAGTTATTCCGCTGCATGTGAACAATTATTTATTGCCTGGCTTGGGATGGCGATGGCAAACTGGGAGCCTGGACCTGGGCCCCTGTTGCTGTGCTTTTGGTGTCTCCTCCTGCCTGGGAGCACGTAGCCTGGGCTTTCACTGAGCTCTCTAATGCCTTTGGAGTGCGGCTGTTGTGCTCATCCAGGAGGCCGAGAGCGTAGGCCTTGGGGGCGAGTCAGATGGACGAGCCCTGTGACCCTCACTCCCCTACTCCCTAGACCATGGTGACAAGTGACCGTCTAGATCTCTGGGCACCCAGTCCATATCTCGCTAAGTGACAGCAGGATGATTCAGGTCTGGCCAGCTCACCTGGTGCACAGCCACTTCCAGGGAAGACCAGTCCTGCGCAGCGGCTGGGCTGTTTGCTGCCCTGTTTGCTGCCCCGTCTGCAGGGCTCCGGGCCATGCACTCATCTCTGCCACAGGGCTCACGGATAAAACCCCTCTTGTCCTGGAAAGAATGAGGCGGTCAGGCAGGCGTTCAGTGCAGGGTGACAGCACTTAAAGTCGGGGGCAGATTTGGGCTGCTCTGTTTGCAGGGCCAGCTGGGGCTGCTGCCTCGGGAATCCTGTCACTGAGGCAGAACGGGGCGACCCGTTGTCAGCGGAAGTGGCGGGGGGTCAGGTGGGTGCTTGGTTCTGGTGTAGCTTTGGCTACGGCCTAGCACACTAACCCTCCCCGGCCTTGGGCCTTTTCTTAGCAGAGCCCGGCTGTAGCTGGGTTGTACTTCAAGACCTGTGGACCTCTGAGACAAGCTCTGAGCCAGTGGGGCAGTGAAAAGGGAGGAAATGCCAAAGGATTCAAGATCAAGTTGGGCTTCCTATGTGTCTCTTTGT